TTTAATTGTGAGTTTTTTACCCGTAGATAATCAAGCTGTATATTTCCAGTCTATCTAAAGCAGGTAATAGATACTTAAAACATCAAAAATACATCTTTACTTTGCACATATTACGATAAGAATGTCCGGTTAATTACTAAATATATAATACATAATTAATGTACGGTTAATTACTAAATACATAATATATAATGACCGGTTAATTACTGAATCACGTTTGATTTTCACTAGATTAGTATGCGGACGGCAGATAGTTATTTTTATAATTATTTAATTCCTTTAATTTCTCTTTCTCTTTTTTATTATCACGCTCAAATAGCACTCAATAGCTGTATAGATTGATGTGATTCGAAATGTAGGCATTCAAAAACGATATCGAGACAGATTATAGGAACACCTTATACAAACGTTGAATATCTGAATATTTCGGCTCTTCGTTGAAAGAACAAGCAAATGTTCTCTTTAATGTTATCCCACAAAGCCTTAATTCCTAATCTCCTATAGCCGGAACCTGTGAAATATTACATAAAAAACTAGATCCCCAGTGTACGAAAAACACAAGCGAAAAAGTCAGTTTTACAATGAAATATATATGAATAAAGTTAAAATAAATCTTCTCTTTACTCAACAAATACTGTAAATCTTCTGTTTACTACTCCATACGAAAAAAACGTATTCTATAAAAATTGTTTGGTTGGTATTTTTGAAAGTTTCCTTTTAAAATTATGATAAAAGGAGATCAAAAACTGTAGTATTCTTATTTAAAAAAAAAAAAAAAAAAAACCAGAACAAAGAGCGGAACACCTTGACCTTTTTGGCCACTATAGTTACTGAGTGAAGTGTGAACACACGGGTGAATGAATCTTAAAGCATATCATGACCCAACCTGTGATGCAACCTGCTATAATTTGATTTACCCGTGAAAAAGAATTAGTTTCATTTCCTTCTACACTCTAATGATTGTTGGTAGAACGACTGACGGAAAAGGAACACACTCGTTTCCTTATTTTAATGGTGTGGCAAATCTTCTTGCCCCTTGCTACATCTTTCCAACAAAAGAAGAAAAAAAAACACACATTTAAAAATAGAATTTTTACAATGGTACGCTCTTGAAAATAACCAAAGTTTTTTTGATGCTAACGCATTTTGATAACTTAACGGCATATACGTATCAGATTCAGGGTTATGCAGTGTACAATGAAAATTAAGATGATAATTTTTTTTTCTTACTGAAGCTGAAGGATTCACAAGGTATTCATGGACATTTGATTAGGAACCATTGGATTAATCTCTTAAAGGATCATGTTTTTTCCTTCCAAATACAGTTTGATTTCAAAACAATTTTTGTCTCTTTAAAAATAAAAAATATGCGTTGTTAGAATTGTGATTAATACATTTTTATCTTTTATTTATTTTTTTTATTGTAGAAATTCAAGTATACATTTATCCATTGGAAATGTACATTATTATCAAAACTATAATCATCTGATTCATCTGAAAAGTTTCGAGATGACCATATGATACATCGTTGCTATTTTCAAAATGGGCCTTTTACTCATTTTTGTGAAAATAATAGAAAGTAAATACAAACAGTCATAAGCGATAAATAAAACGCAGCTTCTCGTTGTCTGTTAAACAGGAATTCGAGACAGAATGACTGTTGCTAGACATACGATATCATGGGTGAATTGGTGTTTACCTTAAAATAATACGTGGGTAGTTAAAAGTACTCGTTTTAGTTCAGAATTTGAAAATTAATTTCCGTAATTAATTTTCAAAATTTCATTAAAATTAATTTTCAAAATTTCATTAAATATCAAATAAAAAAAATCATCAAAATTTTGTCATTTCATCAAAAATTTATTTCACTTCAAAATTAATTTTCGTTTGCTCTTGGTGTTCCGAAAAAAATATATTTATGAGATACGAGTTCAATGGCGATAATCCGTAAAACGATTATTCTAGAGAATCCGATATATAACAAGCAGCTCCATACCAATCTTTTGGGTTAAGGACATCGAGTCGAATGTTCGTTAAACAGGAAATAGCGACAAAATGACTGTTGCTAGACATTCGATATGCGAGTGAATTTGTGTTTACCTTAAAATAATACGAGGTAGCTAAAAGTACTCCTTTTAGTCTAAAATTAGAAAATTAGTTTTCTTAATTAATTTTCAAAATGTCATTAAATATCAAATGAAAATTTCATCAAAAATTTTTCATTTCATCAGAAATTCATTTCATTTCAAAGTTAATTTTCATTTGCTCGTCGTGTTCCAAAAAAAAAAAAAAAAATACCTTTATGAGATACGAGTACAATGGCGATAATCCGTTAAGCAATTAATCCAGAAAATCCAATTAATAACGCGTAGCTTCTCGGTAACCTTTTTGGATAGTGAAGGACATCGAGTCGAATGTTTGTTAAATAGGAGATAGCGACATAATGATTGTTGTTAGACACAGGATATCGCAGGTGAATTGATGTTTATCTTAAAATAATATCAGGTAGCTAAAAGTACTCGTTTTAGTCCAGAATTAGAAAATTATAAATCGTACAAATTTATGCGAATATAAACGTGACAATCCTTTAATGGATTAATCCAGAGAAAATTAATTGTAGCACGCTTTTACTCCGATTTCCGTTAGGAAAAGAGGACATCTCTCTATTGGCCATCAAGGAAGAAAGCCGAATGGAAATGTGCTCAAAAACAACCGGAACTAACCAACAAGGTTAATAGAGAAAAAAAACGGGAAAGAAAAGCACAACATGATCAGGGCGGCTTTCTTGTCTTTCTCGAAGTGCCTCAAGGGTTTATCATCCTACGCAACTGGGTCACACGGTTTCGGAAGTTAATTCCTTTTTTCTCGAGAACAAGTCACTTGCGTAGGTATGTGGAAAACTAGCGACAAAGGATGTCGGTTGATGGATATGAATTAAAACTTAATGCGAGAAAAAAAAGGAAAGGATGAAAGACAAGACAATACTGATATCATGGTATCTAATATAGTATTTTCTGCGTACTTTCTTTCTTTTTTTTTTTTTTTTTCATTGAGATATATCCCTCAGCATTCAATCAGGGAAAATTCAGTCCAGATTTTCAGTAAAAAGTTTCACTTTAACATTGTTTCTTAAGGGAGTTGGGAAAGAATAATATTTTTTGGAAAGACATTTAGGAAAATATGTTTCGATTTGAGTATCGTGTGGTCAGGGAGGTGTTTCAAGCACCTTCATAGAATTAAACTGGTTCCTGACCCTCTCTGCTTCCTGTTTAATAAACAGGAAGAAATGAATCTATCTCATCTTGCTTCCTGTTCTGCACTGCCTCCTGTTTCTTTATGGAAGCGTTATTGGATTGCCAGACTTAAGTTGATGGATTAACTGATATCGTTTGTTTTTATCTTTTTCTTTTTTAATGATATCTGTTGTCCTGTACACTTACCATTGTAAATAATAAATAAAAAAACACCGTAAGTGAAAATCTGACATAGATAATCAGCTGTCTCATATATTTTGTGAGTTTTCTTCTATATGACAGTCAAATACTTAGCAGGTATTAGTATTTAGTCAAATACTTAGAGTATGCCATAACGATGCTTTTGGGAATACATCCTCCTGGATGTATTCCAAAAAGCATCGTTATGGCATACTCTCAGGTGTATAAAAAATAACCTGATTTTTTATTATAGCTCAGGCAATAAATATTGGCGAGTTTAAATATTATTCTTACCTGTATAGAATTCTTTTTGACAGCTTAATATTATGGCCATTTAGAGAAACTGTATTTCAGATTTTTCAAGATACTCTGACCTTTCGGACACTGTGATGTCGACGTTTTGTTAGCCGTATTCACGTGCGCTGGGGAATGTAGGTCACTCACACACATCGGAAGTGAAAGATAAATACTTTCGCTTCCACCACGTGCAGGGAGTGGGGAAGTGAACGTTTCCACAACCGGTTGCTGCCGGAAAATCGGAATCGTAAATAAGCAATTCTGTTCGGAAACGACCCGGAAAAAAAAAGTATTTATCGGAAGTGGTGTTGTCTTTGTGTTGGCGAATTGGCTTTGAAAAGTCTTTTCTCCATGCATCACAAAGAATTAAGTGAGTGAAGAAAAAAAAGGAAAGAAATCTTTTAAACACGCGATCTGCATTTGAAAGAGCAGATACAATAAAGGACAGTTTAGACATTACACTGTGATAATACAAAATAAAAATTGAAGAATTGATTGATCAAAACAAATCTAAACTAGGGAGAATCAAAACAAATCTATTTAGGTTATAAGATTCATGCAACATTTATTCGTAAAAAAAAACTCCTGCAAATGCCAACCTTTTCTACTAGAAATGTACTTCACGACAAATGAGACTTGTTCATATTTGTTATTAATTCAATTTATTGTTATTATATAATTTAATATACGACCAGCTCTTTATATATGTATATATGATAAATGAGACTTTTTCATGTTTGTTACTAATATAATTTATTGTTATTATAAAATTTAATATACGATCAGCTCCTTATATATACAAAATTTTATACTAATTTATTTTTGAATAGCTTATAAAACCCCGCTTTGTTCAGTTACATTGAAAAGCATGTGAAAGAGCAGTTACAATTAATGACAGTTTAGACATCAGATAAGTTGGTCTTACTACTCTGGTGAGTAGTAAGACCAATCACAATAATCACAAAATAAATTATCTGCAAAATTACAATGTACAGAAAAATCTGTAAAAAAATTTTTTTATATGCCATTTAATTTATTAACGACCTAAATTCGAATTTTTTAAATCTTAAATTAAAGTACTTCTTTAATATAACTCTCTTAATATTATGTATTGTCTCTACATGTAAAGTAATACATCTGTTTAAATTTCTCAAATCTAAAAAACTTAAAAAATATGGTACTTATGTGTTAAATTTTGTTTAATCTGGTGCACAGAAAATAATCATGAAAACATTTTCATAAGTTATTTAATAACTAAATAATACAGCCAACGGCCGTACCATGCTGAATATACCGGTTCTCGTTAGATCACCGAAGTTAAGCATCATTGGGCGCGGTCAGTACTTGGGTGGGTGACCACCTGAGAACCCTGCGTGCCGTTGGCCAATTTGGGACCTGAATGGCCGAGTGTCTAGCGCTCTGGCGCTCGGTGTCACAGGTTTCGGATTCGAATCCCGGCGGTGCCATGGATGTTTGTAGTGGTTCGGAATCCACTTTAAGCCGTAGTCCCGGTCTTCTATCTCTGTAAGAGCGTCACGGAGCAAAAGTCAGGCTTCTACCTACGGGTGCTCCATCACAACAGAAGCTGCTTCCTTCCCCTTCAATTATGAGTCCATATGGGCTCGTGGGCTTGGCCAGCCAAGTGGGATAAGAAACAACAACAACAACATAACTAAATATAAATCATATTCTTTTGTTTTTAATTTTCGATCTCTAACTATTTCAAAAACCGTTCCGAAGAGAATTACGAAAGGGAAATATCATCAACTCTTTGAGCACTCTTATTTACTTTTGTGATTTATAATTAGTATTTAATAAATTATTTAATATTGCTTTATTGAATTACACAATATTTGAATAAATGAGACTAAGAAATTTTTTAAAATAAGAAATTATCTTGATATTAAAATGGTATGTTTTGTGATTTTTTTTAATGTCTTAGTTATTCTCTTCAACTGTTCTACTTATTGTGTTCATTCAAAATTTATTTTTATTAACATTTTTAATTTTGTAGAAACGAAATTAATTAAATATTTATGTGTGTTATTTATGAGGTCAAACAATTAGAAATGGTTACAAAAAATAGGAATTTCTTTTAATTACAAAATTCATTTTTAAATTTATATGGATATTTTAATTTCGAGTAAAATTTATTTAATGTCTACTTAGAAATAATAATGATTTTTAAATCAATTAATATACAGAAATTTACATGAAAAACCAAGTGATTGCTGTTTTCATACGTTATATTTTCTAAATGTTCACCTATTTCTTATTATTATTTTTTTTTAATTCCATGTTCTTAAATAAATTTTATATATTTTTAAAGCTATATTGAAACATAAAAATGCTCAAATTGAACTTGTAATCTATTATAATAGTTATTCTGTCATCTCGAGTGATGAAATTTTATGTTATGATCTCTGAATTTCTTTGTACTTTTTTATTATTATTGAAAAAGTACAAAGAAATCCAAATTTACCTAAGTAAAAAGTTTAGAACAACGCTGGATCACATAAGCTTGTTCAACAATAAAGGTGTACAAAACTATATATATACATATATTTATATATATGAAGAGATGATCGTATATTAAATTCTGAGAAGTGGACCTTTTAATGTTGCATTTCCTTGTCACAACTCTTTAACTTGTTTCATTATTGAGAATAAGGCCTTTAACTTGTTTTTCAAGATTAGACATCATTCTTTTATGGAACTACTACTATCTCGACTTGATAGCAAATACAATGTCTGCATTGTTGTCAGTTTTTTTCAATGTCCTTAGTCAAATTTCAGGTCAATTATTGTTATAATGTCTTATAAAGAGAACTCGAGTTAAATCAGTACAAGTAATGTACTTCTGAATGTTAGCAACATTAAAATATTTTGAAGCTCAAAATTTAAGAATTTGTATTTTTTTTTTTTTTTAAATATATCTCTGGGTATTCCATTAAATATTTGCGAGATGCTCAAAGACAGAAATGTTTAAATGTTGTCATATAAAAAGAGAAGTTTGTAAGGTTTCAATATGTTTGAACATGGATGAGTTTCTATAGTTTAAATGCGACTTACCTCCAATTTGACGATCTGTGATACCATCCCAGAATCGATGGTGACTATAGCCACGCGGGAACTGTTGTCTCCAACTATGAAAGTTCTGCTGAACTGTCGAGTGTGGATACCCCGCGTTACCTGGGACACCTTTGCATAGCCCATCTACAAAAATAAAAAATTATTTTTAAATTTTATAGTTAAAACTACGGATATTAAATAATTTACAATTTATAAGCATTATTTATAATTGTAGATATTTACTATCTTTTAATTTTGATTTTCCTTTTTATAACTTATTTCAATTTTTTTTCCTTAATTAACAATCAAACATCAAAATGAATAGCATTATAATAATTTTAAATTACATAAATTTATGATGAAAGTTCGCATCTATTTTTCAACTTCATAAGTACATTTTCAAACGTGACCTTAAAAAATTTCAATGCAATCCTTGAGATTGTTTAATGGAGTTTAAGTTTTTTAAAACCAAATTTAAAAAGAGATAAGTATAGTCTCAACTTTATCAATCTTAATTCGGTATTTATTCTTAATACACTCATAAAACGAGAATGCACTTTCGACAATCCTTGTATTCTGTATTCATGAAAGTTACCAATAAACGTATCCATAAATTATCAATCACAAGGTTACGCCTATTACTTTTTTTTTGTGATTAATATCATTACTAATATTATTTTCACGTACCCTAACCAATTAGTCACATACTGCTAGGGGTACGCACCAGATCTCTTTTGTTCTCAACTACAAGGACAAAGATTTACTGTTAAAACCTTTTCTTAATGAATCACCTGTGATTTTCTTTCTGTCGATATTTCAACTTTTCTCTCAGCGAGTGAATCACTTTGGTAACTATTAAAAAAATTTAGCTCCAGTTGTAATTTAGTAGTAAAAGAAAAATTTATTTATATAAGAGAAAAATTCGATTCCCACTTTTGGCATACGTTTATAAATTCAGTAGATTTGATTTAAATTGTGACTCAAATGTTGTAGATTTTATTACAATTGTGCTTCGTTATCGACTATTTAGTAAGAGTTTTCCTAATTTTCATCCATAAGATATTAAAATATGGAGTAATTAATCTTTGAAATTCTCTGAAGAGGAAATTTCTCTCCTTCCCTCTTTCTTAGCAAAGTCAAACAAAACACAGACCCTGAACTTCATGAAGTTGCAATTCTACTTCACCAGAAACATGTCAGTTAGATATGATTCTGCTGTAAATCACGTGCAGTAAGTTGCACAAAACAATTTTTGTAATATTTTTACGTTTTTCTGATGCTTAATTTTCAGTTCAAATAAAGGAAATATATTAAAGATGCAATTCTATTCTTTCAAACTTTCCTGCTCTTATACATTATTAGGTAGTTAAAATGACGTAACAGCTGGATTATGACAATTTTGGAGGAAGAAGTAACAGATTCATATTTATATTTGTTTAAATAAAGTCATTTTAAACTACTGTGCACTTAGGTAAATGTTTTGTCCCTTTTAGATTAGCTGCTAGAACACTCTCCTTTTTTTTCATGTGACATAAATAGGGATATTTTTTTACAAAGATTTAAAATTTCAGAAAGACGTTCTATCATTTATTCATTTTATTTGTGCCATGATATCTTAAATAAATGACATATCCAATCTTGAAGCTTTGATGCTTATAATCCATCAGATATAAGTTCCATCACTCGAGAAAGCAAAATAGGGGATGGAAGGAGAAGCTGAGTGAAAGTGACCGACAGATATTGAAACGTATTGTAATGCCTAAAAAGAAAAAAATGCAGCTGAAGTGTCAGAAGAGCTTAATCAGCATCTGGATTCTCCTATGTCAATAATTACAGTTAGGAAGGAATAGGATAAAATAGGATATTTACAGCAGAGAAAAATTCCAAAGGCACTTGTCACATCTATTAATGCCAAATGTCTTTACAATGGGGCCACTACCCCAAAACTTGGTCGATTGACAAGTGGGAGACATTTATATGGTCAGACGAATATCTTTCACACTTTTCCCATAATAGGACTGGTGTATTTGGAGGACACCTGCACAAACGTGTGATCGTGATTGTCTCTTTCTAACTGCCAAACATAAAAGTAGATCTGTCATAGTACGGGCAGCTATGTTGCTGTTTTCTGCTGGCCCAATTGCAATCCTAAAAGGAAGAATAACTGGGGAGAAGCATAGAGAAGTTTTAGCTAACCAGATACATCCTATGATGCAAACTTTGTTTCCTGCAGGAGAGGGAATTTTCCAGGATGATAATGTTCCTATTCAAGCAGCGGGACCTGTCCAATCATGATTTAATAACACGAGGATGAAGTAAAACAATTACCTTGGCCCGCACAGTCTGCCCGACCTCAATATCATTGAACCGTTATGGTCTATTTTAGAGTGATCAATCCGGAATAGATATCCTCCGCCGGCATCTCTTCCGAAACTTTCACAATATCTCCATGAAGAAAGACTCAATATTTCTCAAAACATTATTCAGCACTTATACTGTATTATTCGATTCCTAGGTGAATCCAAGCTGTATTGCATGCCAAAGGCGGACCTACGCCATATTAGTAAAAGATTCCTTATAACTCTATGGTGTTTCCATCATTTTGATAACCACATATATTTATATAACATATTGATTTACTATGTATCTACACTATTTGCATAATCAAGTTGATGTCATACTATAGCTTTACGACTTTAAATTAGTGCATTTAAACCTTTTTTTTTTTCTCTTCACGAACAATAAAATTTTTTATTTATGAATACCACTCCCCCCTTCTATCCATTCACTCGTATCTCTAAGGAAAAAAAAGAAGTTTGTTTCTATTAGGTAGCAATGTTATTAAGTTAACTACCAAATTAATTAAACGACCCAGATTAATCACACTTGGAGACTTTTATTTTTGATTTTACAATTTATTCGAATTTTCAAAAATAACAGCTTAACATCAAGACAAATAGAATAATAATAATTTTCAACTATATAAACATATGATGAAAATTCACAACAATTACTCAACTTGATAGGCAAGTTTTCGAACAAGGGCTTAAAGAATTTTAACGCCATTCTTGAGAGAATGTCAATTAAAAACTGTCGATACCAGAAGCTCTGGGCGATTCGAAATATTTCTAGAAAAATTATTAGATACAAAAACAACAAAAGAGAGGGGGAATCACATGCGTAATCAGATGATATTATTAATGGTATATAGGGGTAGTGACAGCCAATGATCAATAAATAATTAAATTTAAACCTATTACTTCCACTTGGTCTGCCGCGTAACCAGTGGTTTCAATCTTACATTAAATT